GACTGGATGAAAAGAAAATAATCGGCTACCGGAAAATACTAAGCAAAAAATGAGGAAGAAAAGGTAAATAGCATGTTTGCAAAAACACGGCGAAATATCAACACTGAAAAAGATGTTGGTAGGCATGTGAGTTTCCTTATTTAGGGGTATCCTTATATAAGCAAATCTGCCAAACCTCCTAAATAATTAATTCAGCCTAGTAGTCATTCTGGTGGATTCTAGATGATTACTTGGGAAATCCTGCTTGGACAGTTAGCTTGGTGTTCCGTACGAGCGGTATAGTTGGGCGGGTAAAATCGATCCAAGTGTGATTGAACGCACTGTGCAAGGCGTGGCATTTGTAACCCAACTGGTAAAGCGTTGGCTGCGTAAAGGTTTTCCCTAATATTCGGGTTCAAATCCCGCCGAATGCCGTGACTTTTTTCACAATTGGGTCAACTGAGTTTCCTTAATCATAGCGATGAAATGCGTTTCTTGCATGCCGGAACTCAAAGTTATCTCACGAACAACCTACCAGAAGTCGTAGGGGAGTCTGCGTTGCGCCCTGTGGTTGTGCCCTGCTTGTTCTCAGAGCTTGTCGAGGAGAGGACACAGACGGCTTCAGAGTCGGCTTGCAGTCGACTCACATCAGCCGCCTGGGAGTAGGCCATTACAAGGGTCTGAGCCCGAGAATAAGGCACAATTTTGCCAATCCCGGCCGCGTAAACAGGCGTATTGGGTCCGCTTCCTCCACCTGTTCTCTCGCGCTGACCTCCAGAGCCGGCGGATCCAGCCAGAATGTGGTTGTCGTGGAATGCCATTGGCTCCAGCATGATAGCGTTGGCCTCAGCCAGGCAATCAGAACTACGCGAATTCTTTACCATGGTAGCACTGCGATCCATTTCGGTAGGTGTTTTGGCTTGCATTGGAATCTTAATTAGAAACGGAAAAAGCAGGCGTGCGTTCTGTCACATATATATGCAGTTAGCGAATGGGAAAAGAAATTAATTTAGGTACTCGGTGTACTTTTTACTGACTGTAAGAAGAGTAGACTGCCGTGTTTTGAGAGAACTTTTCAGCCTGAACGAGTGCCACCTGAGCAGGTTCATTATAGAACTTTTAAAACAAAACAAGTTGAAAAAGTAATGGGTTCTTGTACACTGATCTGTTTTCAGGATGCACCCATCCTGTTTTGATTGTTTGTA